CTGGCTCGCTCTGTATACCGGGTCTCTGTCTCTCCGTGTAGGTCTCTGTCTCTACCAGTCTCCGCCACTTCGCGGGTCTGTATTTCTCCGATGACTTCCCTTTGTGAGTTTCTGTCCCTCTCTTTGCGAGTCTGTCCCTCGGTGCGGGTCTCTTTGTGTCTGTGTTTCTCCGCTGGCATCTGTCTTCGTGCGGGTCTCTGACTGCGTTGACCTCTCTCAGTGGATCTCTGTCTTTCTGCCTGCCCCCGGCCTCTGAGGGTCTTTATTCCTTTTCTCTGGTGTCTACTTCCCCCCATCACATCCGTGTAACCTCAGACCCCATCCTCCTTCAGGCTTCCCCATCCTTTGCTGACCGCCGAGAAGAACACACCAGAAAGAATCTCTATGCTAGCCTGGTAGGCCACTGACTGGCACGAACTAGGCACTCCTCACACGTAATGCTGGTTCATTTCCGGTGCAGCTGTACTTGAGTGGGACCTCCTGCATGTGTTAGGTGTGAACTTGATCCAGACCTTAGCTGATGATGTTTTCCTAAACAGTATTGGGGTAGGGGAGTTATTCGGCTTTCTAGATTTGGGAGAACACCCACACTTAATTCGTGAGATGTGCCCCCAAAACTCTTCTCACCCGGGACACACACCCAGATAGTGGGTCTCCGCCCAGTGAATATCACCTCTTCCCCCGTATGTCTCTTAAGTTTGCCAGGTGCCAAAAGATTCGGGAACATAGTGGGCAAAAGGCTTGTGTTTGGGGGATTTTGCAGACTTGGTGTTGAAGCAGGAAGACAGGAATGTAATAGAAAGAAAGCCTGGACAGTGTGGAGTCAGCCCTGGGCAGGAATCCTCTTTAACAGCCATGTGACCAGGAACAGATCACTTAATCTTTCTGACCTCAGCTTTTCCATCTCTGAAACAGGGATCATAATATCTACTCTACAGGGCTGTATGAGGATTAAAAGAAGCCACGTATGTAACACTCTTGACACTGTGCCTGGCAGGCAGGAGGTATCTACCTTTGCAGTTGGGAGGTGCTGTAACCAGAGCAGCTGATATTCAAACCTGTATCACTAAGATTTGTGTAAGGGCAGAAACAAAAGGTAATAGAGGAGAATTTCCATTTCCATATCCCTTTCCGTAAACCTTTGGAACATACCTGTGTTCCCAGAAAAAGTTACTGCTGTCAGTTCCTGCTTTTGACACAGGGTTACAAAGGTCCAGGCAACAGATTCAGGCTAGCGTAGCAGTTAAGAGTGCTGGCTCTGGAGCCAGCCCAGCTGGATTTGACTCTGCCTTTTCTAGCCCTGGGCACAGGTTGATGGAGATAAACCTCACTTAGTCGGCCCCTCGGAGCAGGGTGCCCTGGGCCTGGGAGCAGCTGGGACTGCAGTTCTGGAGTTTGCCACCAGGCGGCACCAGGAGTTCTCGGTGTCCGCTGTCCTGAGGAATTGACATTTGGCTCTGAATTCAGTTGCTCAGCCATTTGGGCCCTTAAAGCCCAGAATAAGATTGCCTATGAGAATGTGATCCTGCAAGGGGAAGCTGGGCTGAAGCAATAGCGTGTGACAATGCACGGAATGCCCAATCCATGCCATACCCCTGGATGATGGTCACTGCTTCTTTTCCCAAAGGTGGGAGATTTCCTCATGTCCATATCCCCGGTCTCCACCCCAGCCCCAGAAAGAACCCAGGGGGCGAGGGAGAATCTGTAGAGGTTCCAGCCTTCTCAGGCCACTGGCAGAATTGGGCTCCGCTCTTCCCCAGCGGAAACCCCCACCACAGGACAATGGGGGGTAAGTCTTAGCTGGCCATTCCTCTGCTGTGTGTGAGACCTGGCTTCAGGGTTGCTGGCTTCCAGGTTGGCAGTTGTGTGTTAGAGAAAGTCAGGAGTTGGTCTGGCTCTGGCGTGTGACTTAAAGCATGCCCTGACTGCTTGAACCCTTCCTGTAACTCACCAAGCAAGCCCTTTGCTGTCTAAACTGTTCTGGGGCCGCAGACAGGAATGGCTTATCTAGGGGGACGACCAGCAGGGACACAAGGGATTATAGAACTCTGAATGCTTCGAAGAAGGAAGGACCAGATACCATGGAGAGAGCATGCATGTCCGTTTGTGTGCACGTTAAGGGTGGGCAGTGCTGGCCCTGACGTTGGAGTTAAGGTAGAGGGACGTTGCTGGTTATGACATGGGAGTTTGGCTCTGAAGGATCATCAGAGGGCATCTCAGACTGCAGTGGCAGGCTGTGTCAGGGCTGGAGCAGGAAGGAACATGGTGAGTGGCGAAGGTCTGGGTTACCCAGTGTGTGGCACTGGGTGAGTGGTGGGGGCGAGTGCAGGCAGAATGTATACTACCTTGTAGCTAACTGGTGACTCCCAAAGGCTATAAAGCAAAGTGCTTTGCAGGTTGTTTCGGGGGGGTAGACTAGAGAGAGCTTCCCTTGTCTTAGGTTCCTCAGCTCCTTCTCTGTCCTCAGCAGAGAAATCTGGTAAATTCCACCTCTCTAAGCCAGACAGCGATCTCTCCCAGCATGACCTCGGTGTCCAAGCGATTCAGATGCACTTCCAGCTTCTAAACGGAGCCTGATTCCCATACCTAGCCCTGATCTTTCTCTCCCTGTCCCATCTCTCCTCCCTTGTCACATGAGCTGCCTCTTGGACTGAAGATTGGAGTCTCATTCAGTGAACAGCGACTGTCAGTTTGGGTCTTGCATTGTTTTGGGGGTAGGTTGGATCTCCCCAGGGTAAACACTGGTCTTTTCCCTGGAACTGATGCCAGGCCCCTGCCTTGAGGACCTTTCTGGTGTGAGAAGCAGGACTGAAGGGAGGGTTTATACTGGGAGTAAACTTACAGAGGAGGAGGACTGGAAGGTGGTGGGTGGGATCTCTAAGGCAGGGCTCCTGCCCTCGGCTCAGGCTCAGACCCTTCAGCCACCGTACTGGAGAACGGCAGGTACCAGAGACCAGGAGTCTCGCCCCTGCCCTCCAGCAGCTCTTGGTCTGACCCGGACTCACTTACAGAAAGTAAGAGGGCGTGAAGGAACTGGGGCAGCTCTGACCCGGGGTTGGAGGGCTTCCGGAGGTGCAGTGACACCTCCTGGGCCTAGAGCAGTAAGCAGGATTCCGACGTGTGGTAGCAGCATGAACAAAAGCGTTGACGTTGCTTCTGCACTAACTGCCAGTCGCGTGGGGCAGACCAGTCATGTGCACCTTACCAGTGGGGAAGCCAGAGAAGGGGCCTGCCAAAGGGCTCTGGCTCCACTCTCCCTTCTGACCCCACCCCTGCTCTTGTCCCAGGTCCAGGTTGCTCCCCAGCAGCCTTCCCCGGAAATGCTCCGTCTTCCACCTCTTCGTTGCCTGTCTCTTACTGGGCTTCCTCTCCCTGCTCTGGCTGCAGCTCAGCTGCTCTGGTGACGTGGCCCGGGCAGCCCGGGGACAAGGGCAGGAGACCCCAGGCCCACCCCACTCCTGCCCCCCGGAGCCACCTCCCGAGCACTGGGAAGAAGACACGTCCTGGGGCCCCCACCGCCTGGCAGTGCTGGTGCCCTTCCGTGAACGCTTCGAGGAGCTGCTGGTCTTTGTGCCCCACATGCACCGCTTTCTAAGCAGGAAGAAGGTCCCGCACCACATCTATGTGCTCAACCAGGTGGATCATTTCAGGTAGGGACGGTCTCCCAACTCGGCCCCCCCTCTCCAAGGCCTCCCCTTGCCCAGGCCCCTCGGCTGCTCCCTCTCCCACTGGGGTCCAGTGCCAGGGGTGCCTCTGGCCTGGGAAAGACCACCCAGCGCAGTGGCGGGAGGGTGGGAACAGTAAACCCCTCTCGCTGGTGTGACGGGAATTTGAGGGGAGGATTGGGGCTAAGGAGAGTCCTGGTGTGATACCCATTTTGAAAGGATCGCCATGGCTGTCGTAGGAGGAATACCTTTTACCAGAACACGAGAATGGGGCAGGGCTGGGAGGCCTGCTGGGCTGTTGGACGGGAGGGCCTCTTGGCTGTAGGGGAGCAGGGGTGGAGAGACGTGACGGGGAGGAAGCACAGACCGAGCTTTCCAGTGGATTGACTGTGGGGATTCGGGAAAGGCAGGGTCAAGGCCACAGCTTTGAAGCTGTTCACAGTCTACTCTTACCCTGGGGTCCTTGCCCTTTACCACGCGCCGCTCCCCTCCGTGAGCCAGTGCGCACATCTCACGCTCCACCTCCACCTCCTTTCCCTCCACCTCGCTCCTCTGGGAGGCAGACCCGAAGGCTCTTGGACCCCGCCAGGCCCTTTAGGCCACAGTACCGCCCAGTCTTCACAGCCCACCCTCCTCGTCCTCACTTTCTCCTCACCCACCTTGGAGTCCACGGTCCATCATTAACATCCATCATCTCGCACTTCTCACCTCCCTGACCCACCTGCTGCTGGCTGCTCCATGCCTATTCTGGGTCAGCTGGCTGTCCCCCC